TATGCCAATTAAAGGTAAACCACAGCCTGCCCATGCCCATCCCCTCAGCCTCGTTTTCCGCACACAATGGCTCCGTCTCCCGGGATGTGTGGGAGGAGATGTGGGCTGTCACCCCCGGCAGTGATGTGACGTGAACCTCTGGCTGACACCTCTCTGCTTGTCAGGCCGCCAACACTGGAGCCTCCTCTGCCACCACGGCTGGCAGCCAACTGCAGGCACTGGGCTCCTATTCGTCACCGTGAAGGAAACCACACTGATAGCCAGTGTCGAGGATTTACATTATGGCCCCTTTTCACCTTCTCTGCACCCCCCACCCCCTGAGGTGCTATTTACTGCCTGACGACGAACGCGGGCTGAATACTACATGACACATCACTAAATCTTTAAAGCCTTTAACCAAAAGAAAAAATAATACAAATCCCGCCGGTGTGGAGAAATGATTGATGGAGATATAATCACATTTCTTCTTTAAGAAGATAAGCTTGTTTTGTTTGTTCAAGTCTTAGAAAAAAAAAAGAGTTGTTTTTTTAGTAAAGGTGGTTGAATCCTTTTTTGAATAATCACAAAACAAAAAGTCTGACTTGATGGACGTTCTGTGACGGTATGACGTACCCCTAGCATCCATGTCCTGTCAATCTTCATTAATACAGTTAGAATAGCATAATTGGACATACAAATATCGCATTTTATATATTGCCTCTTTCTATGTGATTTCTTTAACTTGCTATTTTTTCCTCAGAATTTATTGCTCTTTGCTTTCTGTAAGTGTCAAATATGAAGAACAGCTAAATAACTTTTAATGTACACAGGACAATGTACAGTTGAGCAGGGGTGTGCCATTTCTTAAAAAGAAAAACGATAACGCCTGTTATGTATAAGCCTCAGAATAATATAATTTATTATTACCAAGATGACGCTGTGCCAGCCTATGAAAGAATAGGTGAAGTGTGAAATAAAGTTTCTAACAATTACTGAGATACAAGTTTATACCATAATGTGTTTCAAAAGTAGGCATCTTTCCAAAGTAGTTATCTTTAATTTTCAATTTGGACAGCAAATGACACTTGTCTGTCTCACTCTGTTGTTCTCTCATTTTTCATTTTAGGATTCTGCAAAATCTGTGTCATTGGGGCTGTGGATGGAGGAGATGATCTTCAATCTGGCTGATTCACGTCTCTTCTTCAATGACCTTGAGGTGAGAGTGCTATCATTTATTCAGCACTTTAGCTACTTGTTTTTCTTTAATTGTTACTTGTACATTCACCGGGAAGTTGCTGGGAGTGGCAGAGAGGGTACCAGTTAAGGAAATGGATCTGATGGTTTGTGTTTCAAGAGCGGAGGGGGCTTTGGCTGTCGCTGATCTGCTATCCGGCTTTTGTCATAGACAGGAACTTTTTTTACAGAACCGGGTCTTTTTTCTGGAACCAGGAGCTTCTGTCGTGTTCCCACCACAGGAACTCAGTCCGATTATTGTTCCTCTGAGGTAGTTAGTGGTTTTTCTAGTCCCTATTTTGATCTAGGTACTTTTCTTTTGACCACAGACACCTGGGGTGGGCCTTGTAGCAATAAACTTGTGGATTGATTGACTGGCACTAACCTGAAAGTTACACAGAAGCGTTGGGAAAAGTACCTTCCTGGGCAAAAAAATGGCCAAACCCAAAATGGCAAATACTAAACTTTTCAGGGTCTCAGCAGCAAATAATTGTTCAGGATATTAGCAAGAATGCAATTAATAAATAAAGTAACTAAGCTTTTCTCTTTTATTTTTTTAGACGTGGACTAGCTTTTTATAGAAAGAAGAGTTCATGTTGTTCTACTGAATGTTAATGGCTTCAAACAGTTAATAAGTCTTTAAAAATGTTTCCTGATTAGTTTGTTTTTAATGTGAGACCAAATACTCTCTATAAGGTTCAGATCTGGACTGTGACCAGGCAATTTTGCGTTTGACTCATTCTTTTTGTCCAGGGGTTTAGTGGAGCAAATTGAGCAGAAGGAATTATTTTCCTACCTCAGCTACATTACAAGCATTAATAAATACCTTTTTGCTTGCGTCTTCATATTTCTGCATCAGAAAATTCAGTCAATAACCAACATACTTCTGTCTAATGTCACCGGTGCCAACAGGGAAACTCGCCAGCGCTTATTAGCAGAATAATATTACACCATTTTTTATTCTGTGGAAAAGAACAATCGATCTGATCGGCAGATATAATAATGAATTATTAACATGTGTGGGTCATATAAATATAAATATAAATTAAAGGCTGTGTCCCATTTCCATCACAATCAATGTCCCCAACTGACAAGTAGGTAACAAAATTACTTGTTCATCCTTCGTTGTTTTATATGAAACTGTGTAAAGTTTAATATATGCGCTTTTGCAGCCAAGCTTATTTAGCATAAAGGTCACTTTCCTGCTATGTGGTGGGAAAGCGACACACGTAAGTGGCCAGGAGCTACAAAAGACACCCCAAGAACTGAGAAACAAGGTTCCTGAACTTTGGTGGGAAAGCATGTAATAGCTACTAATAAATAAATAAATAATATTTATATTATAATGAATAACTAAATAAATAAGTTTAGAAATTAATATATCATATTTAGATAAATTATATATCTTAATTTTATTTATACATACATACATATATACATACATACATACCAGTCAAAAGTTTTTGCACACCACAGTTTTTTTTTTTTACTACTTTTCCATTTTATTTCTTAAACTGCAGATTTTTTATTCTTGTTAAGCATTGGAAAGTTGAGTGGACATCTATAAATGAAAATATAAGTCAAATAAAACAAGTTAACTTTATAACATGGAACAGTGCATGTCTGACATCCTATTAACTGGTCATGTGGTGACGACAAATTCTAGGCTGTCATTTAGCTTTAAATGCACTATGAAACTGAGCAGTATTTAATTTCCCTTGTAGGATAAATGCCTCGAACTGCTAGAGGAAGTTACTTTGATGAATCAATGATATGACATTTTCTTGCTAATAAAGGTACTCAAACTGTGAACTTATTGTAAATTTATTTGTTAGCACAGAATATTGAGTGTATTTTTAGTAAATGTTAAGTGAGTAACAAGCAAATGTAGATAATCTCAGTTCATGCAAAAACTTTTGATTGGTAGTGTGTGTATGTGTGTGTGTGTGTGTGTGTGTGTGTGTGTGTGTGTGTGTGGTAAATAAATATTGTGTATTTGTTTCAGATACTTTGCAGCTTATAGGTCCAAAAATGATCTTTTTTTCTTTATAAATATGCCATATTTTAGCATTCTGAAACCTTACATTTGTACATTTAACTAAAAGGGTTTTTGAAAAGAAGGATTCAAAGTCAATAAGGGGAAGCAGGGCCCAGGTTGCTAATGACAGGTTTGTGCTTTTCTGAAAGCAGGAAAATTAGCCATACCAAGGAACACTTCAAAGGAGGCAACGCGAGCGAATAATTTCTGAGCAGAGATTTTAATGATGTCGTTTGGATCTCTGTGATCATCAGTCTCGGTGGCCCCAGCCGCCAGCCGCCTCTCGCATCTTTCAGGACGTCCTGAAATTTATGGAAGCTGCTTTCTCGACTGACGTGGATCAGCCAGAGAATCACCGTGGGCAAAATAGCTCAGGTGGTGGTGGGAAGGGCTTCCGAGTCTACAAGCTGGGAAAGTTTAGGGGAGTTCAGTCATGGTTTGAATAGTTCAGCTTCTCTTAAAGGTCAAAGAATGGCTAATGAATGTCGTGAAACAGAACACCAAGCCAAATATCACATAAATCAATAAACTTTTGTTAACCGTATAATATATTTACCTTCATATCATTCTACACGCAGATTAGCTACATCAAGCTTTAATTTAATCCTGTGTGTCAGGATCTCAAGATGTAATAGGCAGGATAAGTGTCAGGGCTCCTTTGTGGCTCTTTGTACTTGTTGCTCATGGAATTAAAGGAAAAATGCAGTGTCTGTTTTTTGGGGCGTCGTGGGGCCTGGTAGCCTGGGGGTCTGCAGCGGAGAACTTAACAGGCACCGCTAAGGATACAGAAATATCACAGCAGGACAGGGTGCTATCTTGGGTGTGTCTTGGGCTGGGATAATGTGATAGAAAGGGGCCGTAATGTAACAAATGGATGAGTAGGGGCATTTAAAAGGCTTCAAAGAAAAGGGAGAAAATGGCAATGATGGCAAGATAGGATAGGCAAAAAGGGTACTGAACTCTGATTCATGTCATCTAAGGCTTTTCAGGACCAATTATGAACATTATGAAAATGAAAACCTGGGCAAATGTACCATAATACATAAGTTGGTTTTATACCAGATGTAAATAGTCCGTCAAATTCTGCTGATACCGTGGATTTAAAGAAGTGTTACAAATGCTTATGCATAGGATTCTGAATGCTGATTGATAAACTCTAGCTACAAATCACAATATGTAGCAATTCATGTCATATACTATTATATAGCTTGAAATATATTGCTTACACATATAAAGTAAAGCATACATTTGAAATTACGTTTGATTTTGGGAGTGACGTCCTTCTTCAAGAGCAGGAGAGCAGCATCTCTTCTGGAAATCAAATCTCTACTTTGTCTGTTGCCTTCAGATCCGATTCAGATCTTTGTACTGTGTCTGTTCTTAGCTGACACAGCCTGTGTCTCTGTACTGTGCTACGGGTCTGTCTCCTGATATAATGAAGGCAGAGATGGCTGCCCCTCCCTCGCTGATTTCCATTATAGCTGCATGGTGGCATCAGGCAGGGGAGCAGTGGTGGTTAATCAAGGTGCCTCCGTGTCTTTGGCCTGGTTTTCCTGCTCTCTCTCTCTCTCTCTCTCTCGTTAAGGTTGCCCTGAGCAAAAGCTATTCATGCAAAACGCCTTGCCCAACTGAAACCAATCTCCCATGCCGATGTATCCTATTTCTTTTCATTTCCCAGGAATGTGACCAAGTTCATATTGATGATGTGGCCTCAGATGACAATGGGCAGGACCTCAGGTAAGGTGTTTTCATCATAATCACAGTCTTCTCCTGAAATCTCTCTTTTTTCCCCCCAGAAAATACTAGTTCATATCAATTAATGTTGAACAGAAGTTAACTCACCAGAAACTGGAGAGTTGGAATTTTTCCAGCTTCTCTTTTGGCGTTTTTTGCCGTTTGATTTTTTTATTCAAGTCCAACTAAGACATGCATATTTCGTAGAATTCAAAAACATTTATAAATAATAATATATCTCTTTAGTCTTTATTAGTAAAAGTTCCACTGGCATTGTGTTGGGATTGCGATACACAAGGGACTTTTTATTCAAAATGTGTCTCAAGATACACCTTCCTTTCATTTCAAAAGACATACACAGTAAAGGTAATTGTGATATTTCCACACACTTTCTTTTGCAGCCTTCAGAAATGACAGTTTCATTCGGAAAGGAATTTTGTTTCTGGGCTCTGATTCCCAAGATCTGTGAGGAAACACTTTCATTGTGATGTGGCAGAATAAATGTGGCGACAGCCATGAAGGAGCACATTGTTACTGCTGCCCCCAGTGCCGATCCAGTGCTCTGAGTCCACAAGGTGCATATATTTATGGGAAAACTTCATACCTTCAGTACCTGAAGACACACATAAAAGGTGCAAGTTTTTTGTGACCATGTCTACAGAGTATTATTTTAAAATATCCGTTAGAGTAAAAATAGCAAAATAAAATGTAGCCTTCCTAAAAATGCATGAATAAATACAAAAAGCTCCAGTAAATAAACAATATCAAATAAAATAAGAAATGCTGTGCTAGTGCAAAATGACCCTGAACGACAGGCCAAAAATCAAAGAGTGTATGAAAAAGGAAGAAGAACCCTGAGGTCTACATATTTTTTTATAAGTCTGATGACAAGAAATCCAGGGGAATATATGTGATGAATATAGAAATTTTGATAACACTTTACATTAACTGCATCTTCATAATGCATTTGTAGAACATTCATAAACAGCATGTAAGTATACCTTAGCATCCTAACATACTCTAACAGCTTTATTATACATTAATAAAAACATTATATGATAATAACAAACATTATAACTGGATAATCATATCATGTTTTTATTAATGTATATTAAAGCTGTTAAGGCATTTTAGGATGTTTCTTATGAATGCATTATGAAAGTGCACTGATTGTACTATGAATGCATTATAATGGTGCAGTTGATGTAAAGCATTACTGATCTTGTTAAGTTTATGTTTACCTTTTTAGGTTTTTTTGCTAGTATTAATCATTTCTTTTATGAACTGGCATCTAGGCTGTTCCCCTGAATTGCTCTCTGTGCCCCCTGAGAAGGTGGTTGAGGATGGATGGATTTTCTTTTTATTCACAAAATAGGCTGTGTGTAGGTAACTTGGAGTAGCAGTGGTGATGTTGGGGTAGCACTTGGCGTTATCGGTACTTGACGATGTCAGATTAGTAACCCGGAGATTTATCATTTGGCTTTCAGTTCACATTTCTAGCCTATGTTTGTGACACCCTGACAATTTCTTCACAAGCGTACATGATGCAAAAGGTTTGTAAACCACTGCTTTAAACAGTCCCCAAAATGCTTTTAAGTCATAATTTCATTGGCCCGCCGATTAACACTGCTAACCAGCAGGACCCACCATGGTCCCTTTCTGATATGACAGTAAAAAGCTCCCTTAAATATATCTCCTGGCGTGTCTTTGGACAACCCGTCTGAAGAAGTGCCAGGCGGGTTTAGGTCTGACTCTGTAGGTCTGCTAGATACACCTCCCATGGTCCCGCTTGCCAGCTACGAGTATGTCATCATGACTACTGGGCAGAGGTCTGAGTGCAGGCTCTCATTCACACTTTGTCAGATGAACATTTGACCTCTGACCTTTTTTTCCATTTTCTTTTACTTAGATCAGAAAATAGCGAAATACAGTTCCTCAAATTACTAATACTTAAGTAAAAGTAAAATAGCTATTATTTAAAAATACTTAATGTACAATTTCACAAAATATGCGCTGTTACAGTAATAAGTAAATTTACTCTGTTACTTTCCACCCCTGCTTCGTACTCTCCAGTTACACGATTTTTGGCTGGAAATAATAGGCACTGGAGGGAGTATTTTTATGCTTAAATAACTTGATATTTCTCTGAGGCTATAAAAAGGATAATAAAAGGAAGCTTATAGACATTTATTTGTCTGTAATCACGGTGATAGTAGTGGGAAAACGGGTAAATTGAACATGCGAGCAAATTGAAACTGGAAAGATAAAGTGCTTGGACTCATTTTAAGAGCCTCAGAAACAACGTGAAGTATTTCCCGTGTCAGGACTATACCAGCGTTTCATACAAAATGCTGCATGAGATTGTTTAAGTTAATAAAAATTGTCCCAGATGTTTTCAATTCAGTAATAGTCATATATAAGAATTATATATATTTAAAATGACATAAATGTTATGGAGGTTGATGTATATACATGACGCCTATTCATTATACAGCGATAACACTAATCTGCTGCAGCTATTTCACCTACTTCTGTTTTTAATCAATTTACAGTACCTATAACTTTGGAGCAGATGGCTTCCAGACTCCAGCAGGGGGTGCTACACTCTGCCTGGGCTCAGGCGTCCATGGTGGGGTGGACTGGATGAGGAAACTGGCCTTCCGGTATCGGCGGGTCAAGGAGATCTACAACACATACAAAAACAATGTGGGAGGTGAGCTGTCATACCTGTAACCAGGCTGTAGTGCAGCACGCAAGGCAATGCACTTGTTGTTCCTTGACCAACTTGTAGGGGATCCTGTTCTTGTGCACCTGTGCCAGACAACTGCATGAGTACACAGAGCAGGTTGAATGTGTGTTTGCGTGTGTGTGCATGTGTGTGTGCATGTGTGTGTGTATGTGTATGTATATATATATATATATATACACACACTCAGTGACAAAACAGTTAAGCACCCAGAAGTAATGGTCCGATTTGGATGTAATTTGTGCAGACCAGCGATTGGTATGTAAATGTTCTGATTTGCAAGGAGCTGGCACCTCTAGTCACCAGACACAGAGGATACCTCTTAGACACATTAAACAGCATTACCAGCACTTGTGGGTTTGCACGAGGCCAGGTGGTCGTATCGTGCATTTGCTCTGCATGTGGGGCATGCAGATGTCACAGTCACCTGATGTTGGACCAATGGGCATGTGAGGACACCCACACACATCATGAAGGTTCCTGTCGCCCAAGACAGACCACACCAAGGGAGTGTCTTTGGAGTGGTGCCGTAACTGGGAGGCATGGACTGATGATGAGTGGCGTCGTACCATGTTCAGCGATGAGTCTCGGTTCTGCAATACTGCAGATGACCGTTGTGTGAGCGTATGGCAGCGCTGAGGGGAGAGGACCAATCCTGCTAATACTGTGGAGAGACACACCGGCGTTACACCTGGTAGTGCATGACATGGTGGGGGAGCCGTAGTGTATGACATCATAGTGGGGGAGCCGTAGTGTATGACATCATGGTGGGGGAGCCGTAGTGTATGACATCATGGTGTGGGGAGCCATAGTGTATGACATCATGGTGGGGGAGCCGTAGTGTATGACATCATGGTGTGGGGAGCCGAAGTGTATGACATCATGGTGTGGGGAGCCGAAGTGTATGACATCATGGTGCACCACATCGCTGCATGCATCTAGGCCGGGGGGGGGGGGGTGCCACCCCCTACTGACATGGGACCAGCAGTTTGATCTGATATTATAATCATTGCAATACCGTCACATGACATTTTACCACAGATTCATTTAATATCCATCTGGGTGCTGAACCACTGAGTGTGTGTGTGTGTATATATATATATATGTATGTGTGTGTAGATATATATATATAATTTTATTTTTTTGGGGGGGATAAGGCTTAAAATTTCTAAAATGAAAACGAAAAATTCCCATACTAAAACATCTATTAAAGCCTGATTTTTTTTGGCTCTACTGTCTTCAGTAATGGGCAAAGCGTCCATGATGCCTTGCGTTATACGCTGTCCATGTTACGTGTGGCTTATGGTAGCTTTTTCTGTTTGACAGGTTTGCTCGGCAGCCCAAAGCGGGAGGAGTGGCTTCAGCTGCGGCGAGAGCTGGAGGTTCTGACGGACCTTTGGCTCACCCAGGCCCTAAAGGCTCTGGCTCTCATCAGCTCCAGGTATGGGCAGGATTCCTTTCCTTCATTAAGACCCTTACCCATAATTAACATATCAAAAGCTTCATTCTAGCTACAACCATATTCTTAGCAGACACTTGCATGCAGTTTTATAAGTGTACTTATTGATAGAGATGGACATATTAAACAATCCTGACAAACTGCTTTTCTCAGAGGCAAACCTGTTTTTCCCCTCTCGATACTGTATCACTTACAGATCCAATTCCAAGATCTTACACCATCGATCATGAAGTAGCAATGTAATGTCTGTACACTTCTTAACCTTATGTAGCTTATGACTTTACCTCAGATGAAGGTCTCCATCACATAGACCAGTACTAGAAAAAAAGAAAACCTCTAATATCCGTTTGCTTGCATTGCTTTGTTTACAGACCAAACTGTGTGAACGTGCTCGTCACCACAACCCAGCTGATCCCAGCCTTGTCCAAGATCCTCCTCTACGGTCTAGGTGCAGCCTTTCCCATTGAGAACATCTACAGTGCCACAAAGATAGGTGAGCTGCTGCAAGCTGCCCTTAACTTCACATTACCGTTAGCATTTCCATTATCACATCATTGGCCACAAATGCTTTTTATGCTGCGTTCACACTGTGGGTATGTCAAATAAAATATATCGTTACGCTAACTTAGCTACCTGTGTGTTTAAAGTGCAGTATAGTGTAGCGTTAACAAAGGAAAATTGCCACATTAAGTAAGAACCATCAACTTGATAAAAAAAGGTGGTTCTCTTTCACCTTAATTAGCATTAATATGTGCGCTGGCTCTGCATGTGTGTGGTAGGAAAGGAGAGCTGCTTCGAGCGTGTGGCCCAGCGCTTCGGCCGCAGGGCAGTCTACGTGGTGGTGGGGGACGGGGTCGAAGAGGAGGCTGTCGCCAAGAAGGTGAGACATTACCTTTTGGTTAGTTACGATTTAATATAGCAGATATAACAGTTATTAACTGCCACGACATTGAGTTCTTAATAATACAAGTTACGGAAAACAAATGTAACAGAATACAATTTATTCAAAAAGCTGCAAATTGTTTCGCATATTAATAAAGATATTTGTGAAGAAATTCAGGCTAAATATCCCACTCAAGAATATAACAGCTAAACATATCTTAGGAGCTTTTGGTTTGAAGTCTGCATCTATAAACAACAGTACTATATTCTTAGAAGTTTTAAAGGGTTTAAATTGCACCCCCTGCTGTATTAAAGTATGAATTGCTCTAGTAATAATGTCTGTCTGGGGGTTATGCTAGTCCTTTTATCAAAGGAAGTAATCCAATAAACAGAACAGCAGTACTAATACGAGTCTCTCTTTTACAGAAAAACATGCCGTTTTGGAGGGTGTCATGCAGGGCTGACCTAGAAGCCCTTAGTCATGCACTGGAGCTAGACTACCTCTAGGGGGCATCAGATGTCTTTACATTTTCTTCCAACAAGCCTTTACTATCTCTCCGTGGACAAGATCTTAAGAACAACCGGAAGAAAACAAAAGCCAAAAATATGGGACTGATATAATCTGCAGGGAATGGCAAGAAAATACTGGAAAACCTGGGATTCTATGAAACATAATTTTGGACTGTGATCCAATGGCTTCTTGTGCAGACCTTGCGTCTCTCATTGAACTATTGCAATTTGCACTGAAGCAGGACCTTTGGTGGGAGTGAACAGCTCCAGGTGGTTTGGTTTTTTTCATTAAAAAAAATACTTCTTTGGTACCAAATTGTTCATTGCAAAGCAGGGAACAATTACATTCTCTTTCAGGTCAGGTAACTTACAGAATTGACCAAAGATCATGAGTCTTAAGTAACTTCATGGTAAAAAGGAAATTTGTGTCATTAGCTTGACATCTGTTCAGATCAAGTCTCGATCAACTGGTTTACACGATGATGGCTTTAGGGGAATGCAAACATTTACAGGCCATATTCAATACCATAATATGCTGGCGAATAATCTTTATACCACTGGGAACTGGGGTTAACTGTAGTTTAAGAGGTTGTAAAGAATAGCTTAGGGCACTTTGCTGTAAGATGTAGTTTATTTTTAGATCTGTAACAATTCCCTCACTAAATTACAGTCAGATGATTCAATCAAACCAGAGTCTTACCTAACGGGAGGAGCAGATGCTCAAGACAAGCCTAGACATCTTAAGCAATTTCTGATGAGTCGTAAAGCTGAAATACATGAGGAACTGAGGAACAATTATCCCAAACAGACACTGACAGGTAATTATAATTGCCCTGTTTTATATGGCTTAAAATGATAATAGCACAACTAGTCATTGCTATATAAATCAAGCATCAATCAAGCGAGATTTTTTTTGGAGGTGTCAGACCTCTAACGAAACAAGAAGCTGGCAGATGAGCAAAGAGCAGTGCCAAATTACATCAGGATCTTAGCTTGGTGACAATTTTTTTTTTTTTTTACTTTTAACCCTGTGGTATAAGCCGAAGTGAAAAAGCAAATCTTTACAAAACAAAGCAGTATTGTACATAAAATATCATAGACGTTTAATATGTCCGGATTTTAATTGGCTCTTTTTGCTTCATAAAGATACAGGTATACAGTCATCTCAGTCATTCTGTATGGGTTGCTCCGGCGAGGGAGACAAGCAAGTTTCACAAAATATAGAATATAGTTCTGCAGCTTATCGTTGAAATGCAAGTCAAAGTACACTACTAATTATACTAATTCATTCTGCATTCTCTCACAGTTGTGGCTATACCCTTAAATATGCCAATGACAATCTTTTATTTAATTTATAAAATATTCTATCCCTTGTCTTCTTCCGCACTAAGAATTTTTGAGTGTTCCTCTGCATTAAAAAAATGAAAAGAAAAAAAAAGCTGGGCACCAAATTCAGTGTTGCTGGGTGTATATTTGTTTTTGTGTATTATTTCTTTTTATTGCTTTACTAAATGTTTATATATATATATAAATTGTGTGTTATAATGGTATGGGTTGTTTTTGGTCTCTGCATGTGTTTTACATTTGTCTGTAGCTCTGATTTGTATATAAGGTTTATATATTGTTGTTGTTTCTGTTTTAATGGTCCATTATAATAGAATAATAAAATAATTTAATTAAATTCTTCAGACAAATTATTTTAAAGAATTCATTATGAATACTTTTACTGTATAATTGTTTCAGTTGGTAATTCTGTGGTAAAGCATAGTGTAAAATATACTGGTGAGTAAGTGATAGTCCGAATATAACCATCAAACTAAAATTTGCTCTGGGATTTCAGAATAGGTATAAAGCATTGATTAGATAAAAGCAGTATTTAAGTAGTAAAGGCATATTTACCTTGGCGCACTTCAGGTTCTGACACGTAAGCTGTCAGAAATAGTTATACTGAATGAGATTTTAAAAGGCTTGCTTTCAAACCAAAAGCACTTAAGAATAACAAATCATGTCTGCATTAAAACAAGCCCACACAACATTTATTGGACGTTGAGTTGTTTCTGTTAACATCCACAATTATTTAATTGTCCATTATTTAATTTTGATCTGTTTACTGATTTTGTTTATTTGATATTACTTCATGAAACTACTAACAGAAATTTGTATTGTTGATAACAACCTGCTTCTGATTTCAACCTACTATTTGACCATTGATGTTTAAGCCTTGGTGTGAAAAGAATTAAAGTCTTCCCAAGGGATTTTTATATGTGTTTGACTTCAGCTTAACGGGCTCTGTTACGTAGAAAAGCAGAAATAAAAGAATTTTTCAACAGATAAATTACAAGAAGTCTACCTCAGATCAATAAAGAAATGGTTTTCTGTATATTATTCTCTCATTTGCCAGTGGTATCCCATTCAGAGTCTGCCATTTGGCATTCCTGCAGTACCATAATGAACTCCGACTTCCCCCCCCCCCCCAAAATGGACAACCCCTGCCACCACATCCCCTTTTCATATGTGCATTTTGTAATTCTGACTGTATTGCAACAGATGGGGAGAATGCTTTTAGAAACAATGAAACAAAGGACAGTGAAACCGCAGGGAGTAGAAGGAGGAATATCACTCCTAGGTGATTTTGCAGACATCTGCACGGCACTATGGATAGCCAGTGTGCTGAACTGGGGTGCAGAGGGGGAGCAGGGATGTGAGAAAGGCAGTTTAGGGGTGGTTTGGCAGAGTACTCAAAAATAACGGGAGACATTCATCTTGAAGCCACGATTCTTCCCCAGTCACAAAAAAACAGTTCCAAGCTTCTGTATAAAAACATATGTTTTTGATACTAAAACTGCCAGCCCCATTTCAGATCTGATAGACTCCAAAGAAACAGGAGAAAAGGGATTAGAGGAAATCCTAAAGTCTTTTGTCCTTTTGGGGTTTGAGCCCTGGGCTATTCTGGGGGCCAAACACAACAAGCCAAGGATATCAAACACTGACTCTTTCCCATAGAAGAAAACGTTCCTAGGAGAAGTTGAGAAAAAAAAACGACTGCAGGGTAGACTTGTAAAAAAAGTTATTCTAACTTGACCTGCCCTAATAAGGAAGTGTATTCATGGGTGTAGGTTCAAGAGATTTGGAAAGAAAGGAAAGCAGTCAGGTTCTGTTTCGACAATTTTCATCATCAAAATACTTTTGATTATAATTAAATGATGAAATGTAGCTGTCGGTCACTGTCTAATAATCAAAATGCAGTATTGGAACTTAAGTTAAATTTAAAGTGATATCTATAACAGACAAGGTAAATAAAGATGATATAGAAATATAATATACATATTTAATTGAAAATATATATTAATTTTCTGGGCCTCGGAAACCAATTAGCATTTGTTATATAACAAGGTAGGACATTGTCCACAATACAGCCTGGTCACGGTGTTGTGGGGGAGGGGCAGACTTCTTTTTTATTTAACCCAGGTTTCATAATATCGTTAATGCTGTTGATTCCCATCATAAGAGGACAATGTAGTGGCACCCTTAATAACAGGATGTGAACTGTTCCCTAATCACCATAATTTAATCTCAAGGTCAATAATTCCTATATCTGCACAAGCACACAAATGTTGTTAAGGTTTTTCATTCTCAAGCTGGGTGAATAGCTGGATAAATTGTATATATTCATATGACACGCTGCTTAGGACAAGCAGGTCTAGAAAATAGATGGATATACATATGTCCAATTCAATTCAAGCACATTTTTACTATGTGTTAAAGTACAGTCTAAGGGTATACCATGACCAGACCACAGCTGAAGCTGAAATGTGATGATACATACGGTAACCTAAAACAGTGACAAAACACCCAGACACCATAACATATCCAACTGAAAAACGACAGTACTAATTAAGTTCTTATTTTCTAAGATAATGAAAGGGCCATATTTTATTTGAAAACAGCACATTTTTGTATAATCTGTAGTGTAACATTATAATCGTACTTATCTGTTGATTGCTGTCATGAAACCGTAGAAAATACCAAAATTAATTGCTGTGACACCGAAAATGTTAGGCCTAAATCATGGCCAACATTATTTCTGTAACGTTTCAAGCAGAGCTAAGGGATTACGGCGATTACTGCACTGTAGACCCTGGATCTGAGATATACTACACACACATGCACACACACAAACACACACAACTTAAGACCCCTAGCTACATTTCAACAACAAATGCAAAGAGGCGCACCGTTTCATTCACGTTATACATTATTTATTCTAGCATACTTCGATTTGACGCCGGTTGAGGGCGAGCGGAGCAGAAGGTCGTTACACTGTTTATTGACAGTTTGTTCATATCTTGGACGCGGTTTGTAAGTTATTTCACTTTATGGATAAAGCGTATTTGTAGAGGACCGAAGGACCTGCCAGAACAGACAGATATATTTAATTGATATATGTGTGTCAAACTGTATAACTGTGAAATATTCGATCGGAAGCTGTGCAGAAAGGTATTGTATTGCAAACATATTTATAAAACTTTTACGATTTCCTAAACGTCATGTATAACGTAAGCTATTTATATCGAAACTGATTTTTCAAGAAAAATCAAGAAATGTCACGATTTGCTTACTAGATGTTCGTCATCTGTCTAGCTTTTCACCCAGAGAGACTCATGGTTAGGACAGCGCACTGTCAGCACCGGGTGATTTGAATAAAATATAAAAAATATTTAAAAATAACCCCTTTGTTTACTCGTGTTCCCTTCTTCCGTTCCCTGGTTGTCTCGTCCTCCCCTTACCCTTTCCCTTTCTTTTCTGTCGGGCTTCAACCGTAGACTGGAGCTCGTAACACTTTACTGCTGGCGTAGTACTGGACGAGGCATAAAGGCGCACGACCAATTTAACATGAACTCAATTTGACTATTATTAGCCTATAGGCTAATCTGTACAGGACCAGACATGTTCAGTACCTAGGCCGTAGACATTTGTGTTGCTAAATACGTCCCTCTGCTGGACAAAATGTAAATTGCATTCGTAAAATAAACTTGGAAAACTTGAGTTGTCAGCATCGCTCGAGTTGCGCAGGATAGTACCGGATGTGGAAAGCTCAGGTCCAGCAAGTAAAAGTACCGACCAAGATTTTGCTTCAACCATGCCAGTTCAGTATAGAGTACCCAACTGGTTGGTTGAAACAAAATGGTGTCTGGATTTTTACTTTCTGGACCTGAAAATTCCACCTCTGGCTAGCACGACAATGTTGGCAACGATACTTATTAAATACAAAAACACATACTTGGTTAAATTGGTTTCTTTGAGTTAATCAGTTCAGTTTTTTGATTTCTTAATTATGCCATATGTGTTCGTGTATATTTTGAATAATGTATTTATATTTTTAAATTTATTAATTATTAGTTTTAGCGACACTTATCGAAAATAATTTTAACTAGTATTTTATCAGCACAACAAAGAAATCTTGTAGATTGAAAGACATATTCTAAATCATAATTTTATATGAATTGATGCCTCACAATTATTCCATCCATCCATTTTCCAACCTGCTTATCCTACTGGGTTGTGGGGGCATGAGGCAGGGAACAACCCTGGACAGGGGGCCAGCCCTCACTCACCATTCACTCACACAAGCACACCTATGGGCAATTGAGTAACTCCAATTAGCCTCAGCATGTCTTTGGACTGTGGGGGGAAACCAGAGTGCCCAGAGGAAACCCTACAATGACATGGGGAGAACATGCAAACTGCACACACATGTAACCCAGGCGGAGACTTGAACCCAGGTCCCAGAGGTGTGAGGCAACAGTGCTAACCACTGCACCACCATGCCACCCCCCCTCACAATTATTTTGTTTTAAACAAAAATACAGTTTAAAAACACATATAGAACTGGGCAAATTGGCATAAGTTGTACAGGCCAGAATGTGCAATAATAGATTATGGTTACAGTATTGAACATGCAGTATAGATTTTTGCTACAGTTTTGTTACAGTTATGGTTCCAGTGCAAATAGGGGGAACGTTAGTCCTTTTCAGAGAGAGACCATACAACAGCAAACCTGGGGAAAAAGCTGTTTTTAGCTTCAATATTGTGGCTTTGAGGCTGCAGAACCTCTTACCAGATGGCAGAGGAGCAAAGGCAGTGTGAAAGGGGTGGGAAGGACCCCCGATCATTGAACGCAGTGGTCATTATATATATTTGGTGGAGATGGTAGCGTGGTCCTAGCGATCCTCTCTGCTGTTTTGATAAGACATTGAAGGGACTGGCATTCTGAGGCGCTGAAGGATCCAAATCAGGCTGTGATGCGTTTTATGAGGATACTCTCAATGGTGCCTCGGTAGAAGGTGCAGAGGGAGGTGGCATTCTCGTGCATCTCAAGTGCCACAGGAAGTTGGTTTCTCTGCTGGGCCTTCTTGATCGGGGAGGGTACATGCTTAGATATTTGATGTTTAGAGAAAGTATTTCCCAAAGCAGAAGTGATTTTTAGTAAGAGAGGAAAAGACCTCAGTCTAAGTTTTTTTGTTTTATTTAAGTGATTAATTATCAATGCTGACACACCACAGCACAAAACAATGAAAGGCATCCTCTGCATTCAACCCCTATGTGACATAGTATCAGCCTATTATTTAGTGCCTGGGGAGAAGTACCTTGCTGGTGGGGGATTCAAACTGGCAACCTTTTAATCACAAGCACATCCCTCTAAGCATTAGGCCCACCACTTTTGAAACAATTACATAACAAAACCAAATGAATGTCACGGCATTAATGTTTATCGGACACATCTTTAATAATGCCACACCGTGCATAGTGTTTTAGCAGGTTTCTATGGTGCCATAATACACCATGGTGGGCAGTGGTGGCTTACTGGTTAGGGAAGTGCACTTATAACCAAAAGATTACTGGTTTGAATCCCTGATCATTGAGGTACCCTGAGCAAGATACTTGCCCCCAAGCACTACTCCCCGGGTAGTGAATTAGCTACCCCCAGCTATGTCACATATGGGTTAAATGCAGAGGACACATTTCATTGTTGTGTGCTGTGGTGTGTCACCACTAACCACCTAAATTAAAAACTGGTGTCCGTGGAGCGCTACTTTGCCACTAGATGTCACTATAAACGATGTTTCAAAAGAACGAGTCTATTACTGAATCAATTGTTTCGATTGGCCAAAAGCCCCTTTCTACCAACACGTCTTCTGTATTCAGGCAACTGTGCTTCGTACTTTCATTGCAGTCGACGTTGTGTCTAATAAATATATAAATAATAAATAAATACAGCAATACACGTAATCAAAACCCAAGAGAAGGTCCAGGAGTGCGACGCGGACGTGCTCATTTGATGACTTCCGCTGACGTGATAGGTTAAAGGTTATCCAATTGTTTCACAGGAGTTATGTCGCCGAAAGCCAATCGTGAGCAGCGGAATGTCGTCGTTTAACTGTAGAGCTTGTTATTTTGTTTATACCGTACTGTGTCCGGTGTAAAGTTCACGGCTGGTTTGGACAGCGTCAGAATTTAAAAATATGAAGGATCTGCGCTGTAACTTTGGCGTCGCTTTATGTTTCTCACTTTATGCCTGTTTGATTTGTTCAGTCTTTGTTTAATATCTTCACACTTGGTCAGCAACTTCACAGGATCAGAAAGAAAAGTAAGGCCCTGATCATGTTTTCTCTGTGTGTCATAATATATTTGCTAGCGCTCCAAAGTTGACCGTCAGCGGCAAGTAGCTCGATAATCGGTTTAATATGACTTTATAAAGGTTGACGGTGAGAGACGAACGGTCGCCATATGATGGTGTCGAATGCTAACTAGTTAGCTTGTTAGAAGGTAACTTTAACCCTATTTTCTTACGTTCGTATTTCTCTGGCGTGGTTGCTTTCTGTTGTATTTCTAGAGTGAGACATTTTCACGTAATGTGTTTTGACGGGGTAGCGTAGTTACGTTATAAAAATTTAGCTAGCCATAAGTGAGTCGTTTTTTCCCGATTGTTATGTGTAGTTACGTGCAAGACGTAACCAGTTTTCACCTCCTTTCACTGACCTGCCCGGAGTTTTACCATCAAGCGTTGCTGAAATGGAGCCATTTGATTTTAATATGTATGAAAATGTTGCAGGCTCCAGAAGCGCTGGTGGTGGCTACGTAACTGGCATCCTGTTCTCGCCGTCCGGGATCTATCCATTGTCCAAGGTCCTAGCATGGCAAGTCATTTCCGGAGTTATATATGGGACCCTGCTCTCATAATCTACCAGATCATCCTCATGCAATGCATCTACTATAGCTTCCTAGGGCTATGGTTGGCTGGGGTGGATAGTCTGGTACAGAACAACCGTTCACTAGACCAGATATTCAGTTATGAGGTGAGTTTTGCGTGTTTCTGTCTATGTCCTGCCCCTTTTGTAGATTTAACAGTTTGGCCAGAGTTTGAGATGTGTCTCCCTGCAGGTTCTTGGGCTCTCTTCACTTCAAGGCAGGCTGTCAATGATGGCCTTCATCCTCAACTCTCTCACATGGTAGGTGAATTTTAATTTTTAAATTTAGCAGACACTTTTATCTAAAGTGATGTGTATTTCAGAAAGCAGGATCAGCCACTGCCTGGAGCTATTTGGGGTTAAGAGCTTCGCTCAAAGGTGATGATACACAGGGTACCTTTTTGAGCAGTGTTACCAGGCAATTGCTAACCAGGTGGATCTGGATGATCACGAAATAGGAATTTGTGGCCCAGCATCAAAGGGAAAGCGCTTGAGCAACATTTGTCAGCAGCATTGCCCAGCAACATTGCTTTAAACGTTGCCCTGTGTATCGTCACCCTAACAACCATGGGACCTTCTGATCATGGACACAGAGTCCTGATCCACAAAGCCATCCACCAAAGACAGAATCGACAGAACCAACTCCAGGCTTAAACCCAGAACTTTTGACACCACAGCCCCACACTAAAACCACCTTGGTGTTCAGTAACGTTCCCTTAGATCATAAATGGCCAAACTTCTCAGCCCATGACCCCCAAAATAAGAGAGCCAGAGACTCACGACCCCCGTTATCACTGCTCACAGCCTCCTGCTGGTATCTCATGAACCTTCCAGGGGTTGTGAACTTCACTTTGGGAACCTTTGCCTTCCATGGAGCAATTGTGTGATCTTCTGTCTTGTTTTGGCAGTGCAATTGGTCTGTGGTTTTTCATCCGCCGTGGGAAACAGTGCCTGGACTTCACTGTCACCGTCCACTTCTTCCACATGATTGGTTGCTGGATATACAATTCCCACCTCCCTGCCGCCCTCTCCTGGTGGCTTGTGAACATGGCATGCATAGCACTGATGGCGGTCATTGGAGAGTATCTGTGCATGAGAACAGAGCTCCGTGCCATACCGGTGAACAGCGGAGCCAAGTCAAACCTCTGACAACCTGCCTACAGCTCAGTGGCAGTTGGGCTACCAGTGGACACTAAAGGGACAGTGAAGCAATGTGCTGGAACAGCTATCTCGAGTTACATGAAACTGGAGGTGACTTAGTGGTTCTGGGATTTGTGCAACAATATTGACAGAAACTAGAGGCACATGGGGAAATGGATTAAGTGAATGTCAGGACATATATATCTCCGGGGATTACTTTAATGATATATTCACAGTCCACAATCACCATCCATAGGTGATAGGTTTATTTTTTGTAACATTGCAGTATTTATCTTTAATAGTTTGCTGTGTTAATCAATGAAGTAATTGTTTACTCACCTACCTTACCTCTGACTTGTGAATTTGGCACACAATTAGATTTTGCTTATTTTTGAGTTTGATTCAGAATGAATTTTTGAACATCTTCAAATTAACCCTGGGATACAAGTTCATGTCTATCGTAATGTATCTGATCTTCACACATTGTTATACTAGGAGGTAATTTTAAGTAAGAAAGCTTGTATATTTTACCTACCAACTTCCAGGGTCTTCTTTTTTGTCTTTAAAATGTGTTTTGAGGTGATTGTGTTTTCTATAAGAAAACCAGCATTCCTTTTTGATGAACTCATTTAATTTCAGGGCAACTTGTTAAGCGTTGGATAAGAATATGCTTGAGTGTCTAATTCTTTAATAACTCAAATACTAGAAGTGGCACTAGTGTTAAGGTAAATTCTCTAGCAATTTAAACAGTGTAAAATTCTAAGCTCTTGAAGTCTCCTTGTATAAAATGCATTTGCAAAGCAGCTAAGTAACATGTAATGCTTCCTGAACAGTTTGCACATGAACATCTAATTGATAATCTGTTTTGAAATCCAATCTCAAATGTTTTTATGTGCAGGTAACCGTAATACCTGAACACTTCTCTATTTATAAATGGACCTGAACCTAAATGGTTGCATTACCACACACATCACAAAATGTATCCATGTCTGATTTCTATGGTTTCTGAACAAAGGTTAAGGTTCTATGAACTTGTGTTTTTCTTCAGAAATACAGATTTCATCTTGTTTATGAGTATGAAAAAGGTATTAAATCCATACCTTTGTAATTGCAGTTCGATGTCTTGTTTCGTCTCCCTACAACCCCAAGCCATTTCTGATTCGTCCGTTTTGTTACCCCTTATTCCAGCCCATTGGCATGGATTTTGACACATACACAAAAAAAATCAGTGGTAAACTATAATCACGAGTCAAGTTTCTGTCACATTTTATGTTATTCAGGTAATATTAATTTGAAAGCTGTTAACTGCCTTTAATTTAGGGCATTTGATGAATGTTGCTAGAAAGTCGCAGTAGAATTGGCCTAATGGAGAGCTCTTAGCTGCAAATCTGTAAATGATCTATTAAGCGGAAGATGATCAAATAAGAATCTGCATCTTTATGCTATTGATAGCTACATAGTTGTTAGGCAGTAGACTTTCACACTGGGGTTCATTCACTCAGGGAGGCCATAGTGTGGCCAGTCAATCATTTTCATACTTGCTAACAGACATACATATAGCATGATGCTTTTGCAAGAAATTTAAAATGAGTCAGAAGGAATAAAGCAAAAAAGAACTTGTCACTAAAAGGTAATAGTTTTCCACTATATGAGAATATTTTGGATTCCATGGAGACAATATTGAGGAAAAATAAGTGATTTCTCAGCACAACTCACGGCAACATTCTTTCAATATCGTGCAGCCCTGTTCCATTTCAATTTTTGTCTTACATAACAGTCAGATATTCAAAACAATCTAGAGCAAGGCTTCTCAACTGGATTATCTTTAGGACCCATTAGTTGCTTTGGTTTGTTGTAGACCAGTGGGCCAGATTTGCCCCCAAACTTTAGGCGCTATACCTGCTGAACCAAAAAAAAGTAATATTACAGTAGTGTTTTGGGTCAAAAACACATCCAGTTTAGAATATTAGACATTGATACACTGCCTAATATTCTAGACTAGACCAAACTTAATACAGGAATCTCTTCGCAATTTAGTTGGAGAACAGTATGAAGAACATACCATTGTTTCAATCAAAGAAAGATGTTAACATTTTTCAGCAAGGCTGTATACAGTCGCTGTTGACCAATAACATCCACCAAATCACCTTCCTCCTTATAAATAAATAGTTCAGTGCAATTTTAAACCCAGACTTTATTTTCTTTCTCAGTGTTACTTTAGGGGAAATAACCAACATGTTACAGTAATTACAAAAATGAATGCTGTAAAGAAATACTAGGTGATTTTATTAGAGCGGTTAGATAATACTGTGCGCAACACCAGTATTCCTCTTTGACAGCATTACACAGTCCTAACACCATCTTCAGAGTATTCATTGGCTGCTCTAATTATACCTAAGAGTAGGAGTATCCATTTTGTGCGCCATACATTTGAAGTTTAAAGGAAGGCCATTAGTGTCATAAGTATATCTGCACCTTCAGCCCTTTGAATTATTTCCTTGGTGTGACATCACCGCAAAACACAAAAGGAAAAAAAAATAAAATAATGCAGCTGCCTCTCTGGCAAGGTGGTTCAGACATGTTAAAAGACTACTGCTCACGGAGACGTATGCATAAAAAATATGCAAATTACAGAGAATTTGCTCTCTCACTGGCAATGTCCAGTACAAGAGGCTTTCAGGTCCAAAGAAAGTTCCATTTTTTTTTAACCACCAAAGCAGCACATCCACACTTCAATACTGGGCTTAACAAAGAGGATCTCGATTCCTGGGGCTGTAGGACCATGCTTCAGTATCTGCCTCACAGTGTAGATGGTAGGGCCTACTGATCAGTACCAGCTGCTCTCTTGGTTCGCTTCCTCGGAGAGACTTTAGGAGAAGTCTTGTCTGAGAGAGAGAGAGAGAGAGAGAGAGAGAAAATGAACAAAGGAATGGAGCACATGATGAAGTCTACAAAACATTTCCCATGACACTTTATTGTTGTCTTTTGCAAAATGTTGTTTTGCAAAATGACAGTAGACAGACAGGTAAACCAGGCTTCATTTCGTGCAACGTGTCCTTTGGTGTCATGGCTGTATCAGCCAATCCCTGAAGCCCAGCATGGTGGGGGGGGGGGGGGGAGGCAAGGTATTTACTCATGGCATTCAGGGTCTCCTGGGGGATCCAGCTGATGTCCACATCTTTCATCCCACCTGTGCCCGTTTCCACCTTGGCTGGTGCTCTCTTTCTCTGCAAAATACCATAATACACCATGAGTCCTATGTAACTTTTACTCTTCTGCCTTTATTTATCAGGAACTTTTGTTTGCCTTTGTCCAAAGGGATATAAAAATGAGGAAAGCTTGGGGTCAGCGGACAAGGCCAGCCAGTATCCTACCCCCAGAGCAGTTAGGTTAAGGGCCCTGTTAAAGAGCCTGTTGGTGAGGTGATTACTCTGCCAACTGTGGGATTTGAACCCACAAACTGCTGAACATGGGCCCATTTCCCAAACCCTTTAAGCACTACATTAGCTTTACATGTGACCATTACATGCGCAGAATGTACTGGGTGGAACAATATCCCTCTTCTGTTTGCAAACCATCTTAAGAGCAATTTACTTTAAGGAACATGATCTACTGCTTTGTTCATTTTAAGGAAAGTTTGTAATGTTATCTTCCCCAATTAATAATGTAAATACTGTGAATTATTTTGACTAAAAAGCTGACTGGAACATATGTAGACCTGCTTTGCAAATTCCTGATCCCCAAAAACAAAAGAAATGGAATCCCTCCCATCGACCCATCCCTCAGCTGCAGGTAAATTATCCTGGGATCCGTACCTTTCGAGATTCCAGCACCTGGTGGATTCCGAACAGCAGGAGTAGCCCCAGCCCGCACAGGAACACGTACATGAACATCCTGAGAACAGGCCATGACATAGAAGAGTAAAATCACTAAATCAACAAATTACCACACTGGCTATTTCTCGCTAATTATAACCGATTATATAAAAAGAATGGCTTACGTTTCCCCATCGAGTCCCTCTTCCCGCTCAGTGATGGTGACCGTCTGGTTGTAGATAGCAGTCTGGAAAGCAGTCCCCTGCAAGCCCAAAAAGAGGGCTGTTGCAGAAACATATGTAGCCCAAACACACAGTATCTGAGCTACCAGATGGAGTGAGCGGGAAGACGACAGTATTGCTCACCTCACCATCCTGATAGTTAAGGAGGATGACCAGGCCAAAAGGACGGCCTGCCATAGGCTGAGCGGGGATGAAGGAATACTCAAAGGAGGCCTGTCTCTGAGGCTGGACCACAATGCTCAGGGGCAAGGCTGTGAACTGCAACAAAGGGCATTTTAACCTCATAACAGAACTTGTCAGTGATTTACTTTAATCAGTTTCTCAGAAAGGGAGATGCATGTCACTTACCACTACTGTGTTTAAATGGTTAATATAAAGAGAAATGAAAGTATGACCAAGGTCTACATTCCTTAGAGAGAACAGAGGATTACCTTTAAGAACTTAATATATAATTAGTTTTACATAATTGTTGCCCCTAACTTTGGTTACATACATGCACTGTTTTATGGTTGTATAAACATGCCTGTGCTGTGTACTAACTAGGACTATTAGCTACACAGATGGAAGCTGAAACTGATGCAAGTATACTCACATTCTGAATATAGAACTGATAGTCTTGTGGGTAACGGAAAGAGGCTTCGAGGGACTGGACAACAAAATCTTGGGTGCCCTTGTTGGTAAAACCCACCAAGAATTTGACAATTTCATTGGCTGGAAACTCTGGGAACAGGAAATGGCATTAGATTAGCTGCACAAGAACTGCACTCTCTGGTTCCACAGAAATTCATATGCTCCGGATTGTCGATGTACCTTCCCCAGTAACGAATATGATGGTGGTGTCAGCGTCTGGATGAGATGTCACATCTGGGCCTAAAGAGTCATCATCTGTATCATCTTCGGTACCCTGTCAAAGAGCATCGGTCAACACATTTACCAACATGACTGAATCTCTGGAGGCAACACGGTAGTAGTTTAACACTTCTTCATGCTGAACCAACAGCCCACTTCATGCTTACTGTAAATCAATCATCAGTCAAACCACACTTACGGAGTCTGATGCATTGGTGTCTTCAACGAGCCCTTCTTCTTCATCATCACCCTCATCCTCAACTAAATCCGTTTCTTCTGAATGCTCATCTACAGCATTCACCTGTCCTGCATCAAAAGAAAGTGATTGTTCTCTTCAGGGCGGTTACCCGTAACTGTAGGCTACGTACTGATCACAATTTGCTCCTTAGTGGCAAGCAAGCTAAAAAATATCGATTTATAAATACGTGCAATAGGGAAAAAAAACTCACTGTAACACACCCAGTTCTAGGTCAACTCTTAATTTAACAGATTTGCACCCTCTACAGTCCATGGTTCAAGAATGAATAATTATTTTATTTGTAACATCTCGAAAAATACAGCGAATGTCACTAACACGATTCCCCTACAGAATTAACCACGGCTCTCTGAAATATAAAACCTCCGAACAATACAACGATTTCTAGGTAGCCTACATGATTTCGCACTATTTCGTATTTCTATTACAAACTGAACGGTCGGTAGTAGTAGTAGTAAACATGGCCCATGGGCAAAAGCGATCGCTTGACAGCGAGGCGAGCTTTTAAGACACGTCACCAAAGTAGTAAGTGCGTTGTATGGGAAACTGATTGGCTATAGTACTCCAGTTAACAACATCAAATACTACGGTAAAAGTACATAGAACATAAAATGTTAATTCTTAAACATAAATTCATTCTAAGCCCATTAGATCAACTGATTTGAAGACTACACCCACTTCCCTAACGTAATATTTATTACCGCGCGTCATAGTAGCAAATTGTATCCAAGTAAAAGACGGCCAAACTGATAAAATGCCATAAACCAATTTTTAAATAATTTAAATCCTCGAAATCGAATATGAAATGTTCAAATATCTTAGCTGCCGTACTTTAACGTACGTCATCTCCCAGTGATTCGTATTAACTTACTTTCCAAAAAAATGTGAAATTCACGGCCAGCTCTAGTTAAATCAATATTATCAGTAAAGATTAAGAAAAAATTATATTTAACACAATAATAAAACCATACGACAAAAAAATCAGTGAATTGTGCCACGTCGGTGGCACAACATACAATTTAACTTCTATCGTAAACTGCATTGTAACTATCAACGTGAAAGCGTAATTCTTACCGATCGTTGTAAAGGTACATGGAACTGCAAGGAGAAAAAGCAAAACCAAATTTCTCCCCAACGTGAACATTTTTTTGTAGATATGAATTTTATCCTGCTCTACGGAAGCAGATCACTGAGAAAAAGGTTTACCAGCCCTGAGCTGGACGAAAAGGAAGGAAAACTTCACTAAAACACGCCCTCTCTTCTGAGAGAGGGGAATGCAACGTGTTAAATGACGAATACGCAGAGCCATAAGATAAGCAATTCATGGTAGCACACCAAAGCCTTTCATAGTGTCCATGCTATATGTACATGATTAGGTCCTGTATCTATACTTTAATTTGAATCCCTAGTATATTCCTTGAACCAGATTTGGTATATTTTGGATTTTACCTGCTCTGCTTAAGAACGAAAGGGGAAATAGCTCATTGGATGTTATGCAAAACGATGTTAATAAAATAAAAGAAGCAAATATATGGTTTAACGGGAGGATTATTTGTATTTGTATTTGTATTGTGACACCATTTGTATTTACAATGTGAAGAAGTCAGAATTTTAAACCTACCACTTTATTATGCAACTAACATGTAAATTTGAAATTAGAAGCGCTAATACTGAATGATGGAAAGTAAATTTCCTGTAATAAAAATGTATATCCAACTTGTTCTTTGTCTATTGAAGGTGAATATCTTTTGTGTGATTTTAGGAAACGGTGTGCAGCATATCCCTTCCACAGTGTTGCTTCGGTAATAGATACCTGATCTCCGCTGCAGAGCAGACCAGACGTTCTCCGTTCAGTTGGTATCACGTGAAGTAGTACACCTGTAATTGATTTGAAACCTTTCGATTCCATCCAACCATCTTCAGATGTCTGTGATGCTCTCATTTCTTCAGTCCAAAGAACTATGTAAAGTCACTTTTCAGGTATTTTCAAGCCTAAGCATCTTCTCTGTGATTTTTACTTAGTGGAAGTCTTATTTATGACTTTTGCAGTTTTCCAGTGCTTCTCAGTGCGTAGCACCATGTCGACCGGGAGTCATGTAGTTTTGAGTATCTGTGAACTGAAAATGCATTTACTGGCCATCTTTCATTTGACGGCAATAAAATCTTATAATCTCAGCTTTCCGGAAGAGGCCTCCGATTTTTTTTCATCTTCTTGATGGAAATTTCTAGATGGTTTGATAGTCATGACATAAAATCTGTGAGAATTTCACAGTAGTGCAGAATAGTGATGCGCGGGTCGGGTATTTTTCCAACCCGCGGGTCCCGCTTTTATTAAATTATTTGGCCCGCCTCAGCCCGCCCCGCAAATAAAGTGACAATTTCTTTACCCGGCCCAACCCGACCCGCGGTACCCGCGGGTTACGAGACGACCCGCGCATCACTAGTGCAGAAGTCTTCATTCAGGAATTTCACAACTGTAACACACACATTATTCAAAAAGCTTATCTTCTTACCTATTCTGTTTGTCAAAATGATTAGCATATTAACTTGGCATACCTAAATAACAACTACCATTTCTACTGTCTTCTCATCTTTTCATTAAGGAGAGAGCTGCAATGAGAATATTTTGTTGCATAGCCTATTAACCGTAAAACCAAACTAATGATTTGCAGCGCCCCCCAGAGTTTACACCAGTTACAGTGTGATCTCAAGTAATTGGATTGTGTATTCATTTTTCCCACCTAATTGTAAAAAGATTTGATTTAAAGGAGAATAATGTGGATTACAACGTAAAATTCAAACTACAGAGAAACAAAGAAATTGAAGCTGGTAACTATATTACACTTTGTAGTAAAAACAGCCTAAACTCTGTGTATTAAAAAAAAAAATCAGATTCTGATAGGAGTTTTCAAATTATATTAGGTACCATATAACCAATCTGTTCCCAGAATCTATAAACTTTATACGATATATGAGTAACTGGCGAGATTTTTTATGCACGAGCATGAAGATTTCTACCTATTTTTAGTTTTCCCAAACAATACAAATTGAAGGTTAGATTCTGATCAGTTTGCGTATATTTTTTTATAAAACTCTAATAATTTCAGGGTTAGTTCTATTTTATTATTATTAAAATATAAGTGAAATTTCCATCGGATTTCAGTTCATAAATATGGAAGAAATTATAAGATCGGGTGTGTTAGTGACCTCCACCTTCTTCCTCACTGCTTTTCTTGTTGTCGTAGACAGGATCGTGGTTTTCTGCAAGCAGGCGTTTAGCCCGTGCTGAAGAGGTGATGCACAGCGTGCATCCTGCTACAACCTCCTTCAAAACCACCCGCTCAGTCGTCAGCGTCCCATTTACAACCTGCACTTCATAACTATCATTTCAAACCGTCTGGAAAAACGTTTTCGTGAGCTTTTAACGATTTTTTGACTCATTGATAAAGAAGGAAAGATGATGCAGAGCTGAATAAAACCGCACACTTTTGGATGTATTTGACATATATAGAGGTTGAAAGACATTGATATGGAAAATCTCTGCAACTGTACAAACTTAGTAGGTGAGTTGCACATCTTATTACTATCCGCAGTAGGTCTGTTGATCAAATGGTTCTTGTCTTGGAGAACCATTTAAAACTTACGTTATGTGACAAAGATGAGAAGCAGCCCGACTGTCGATCCATGATCTATCAAGGAAGACATGACACTGCGTAGGAGAGCTTTAATATGGTTTTGGTACAATTACTCTTTTGTCAAAATATTACACGTGCATGTCCCAAATAAAGTACATTGACAAGCAGTATTTAACATACAGGGGGGGGGTGGAGTTAGGACGATTCCAAGGGCCCTGGAGTGATAGGGGCCCTAAAAATTTGGAAAATAACTGAATTGGTCTGGACTGGGGGGCCCAATATGACATGTTTTCATAGGGCCCACAATCTTTAGCATTGCCCCTGTTCACATATCTTCACATATATTCCACACAGACATTTTCTTTTTTATCAAGTATCATGTTTTTTTGACTGACTCATTCAGTTTTGTTCTTGCCATTTTGCTGTTAATTGCAATTGTAGTCATTGGCTCCCAAAGGGATAACAAAGACAAACGTTTGGTGTTTTCTGTTACTGCAAAGGTGTTACTAATTAAAAATCACTCAATGAGACTTCTTGTCAATTACCTCAGAACAGCTCTTTTAGAACTATAATTTGAATGGATCCATCCATCCATCCATTTTCTGAAACTGCTTAATCCCAACTGGGGTTGCAGGGGGACCGGAGTCTATCAAGTGTGTGTGTGTGTGTGTGTGTGTGTGTGTGTGTGTGTGTGTAAGGCTATTACCAAATGACAATGCAATAATCAGTGAAGCTGTTTCATGGCAGATTTCCACAAAATATGGCGGAAGCAATAAGGACATAATAGCAACAACAATAATAATTAATATGTGAGCCATATACTAACTAAATAATACTGATATTTATTTGTTTAGTCATCTTATTTTATTTTCATTATATTCTTCTGTTTGTACCATTGTAGACACACATTATTTGATGTTAGGTACGTTAATTTGCTTCTGTGGTTCTGCTGTTAAGGTCATTATTCAGTTGTCTATGACTCCCATATTTTGTCTGTTGCCTGCTCCCAACAGGTTTGGGGAAATTATGTGGGTCCGCTGAGCTGTGGCTGATCCTGGCCATAGTCTGTGCTTTGCTGACATTATGTGGGGGATGGATGCTTCTTTGTTTTATAGTCAGCCATTGCACAGGTGAGGAAAACCTCAGCGGGATCTTCCTTTACGCTACACTCATGTTTCACTCACTCACTCTCACTCACTCACTCACTCACTCACTCACTCAGCTGTTTGTTTATTTGATCTTATTGCCTGCTCTGGGAGTGTATGCCTTCCTGAATAGGGGAATTACTAAGTAAAAACAATACAGATATGTCACACTTTTCTTCCCGTTGCAGATGGAAGAAGTAAATTCATACCTCGCTTCAGGAGAAGGTGCATCTCGATTCCTTAATATCTTATATTTGTGTAATTCAAAGTGGCTGCTGGCATGTCTGAGCTTTGGGTTACAGGTGCGCTTACTGTGGATTTTTTCTGTCATCTTTTCTCCTGGAATTGGTTTGTGTGACAACAGTCTGAGTCTCAAACTGAAGGACATGGAAGACAACCCCATTTATGGAAACATCACCTACACCCAGACCCGTGAGTCTGTGTGTGTGTGTGTGTGTGTGTGTGTGGATTAGGCTTAAATTATATGTAATAAAAACCTGTTTTTTGACATTGTGGGGAACCACTTTTCAGGTCCCCACAATGTAATATGAATGAAATCAAAAAAGAAAAAATGCCAAAAGTCTCATATTTTGTTTGGTTACATATGGTTAAGGTTAGGGCTGGGTAGGGGTTAAGGTTGTCTTGTTGTGATAAGAGATTTTCCCGTAGAAATATATAATTAATTGTGTGTGTGTGTGTGTGTGTGTGTTCGCATAGATCACATTTGGGTACCAAAATGTCCCCAAAATGTGGTGAAACCTGAAACTTCTTTACTGTTGGGGACATTTTTCAGGTCCCCATTTGGATAACCTCAATTTTATAAAAATCTGTGAACGTAATCAAAAAATGAAGAATGCCAAAACTGTTGTTTTTTTGTTTGGTTACTTATGGTTAAGGTTAGGGCTGGGTAGGAGTTAAGGGTGTCGTGATTGGGATTAGGGTTTTTCCTATAGAAATGAATGTATGGTCCCCATTTAGACAAGTTATCGTAATTCAAACTCTGAGAGAAAACACAGTGTAAATATGGACGTATTACAGTTTATGTAATATGGATGTATACATTTTTTTTACCATTTTCCATAAGGACAAACTTACTGTTCATAAACCCTAATCTTAATTATTATATTCATGCATTATCAGTTAACAAATATGAAGGAAACTAGCAGATCAGTGCAGTAAGGCTTAAAATAATCAAATTTGTGAATTCATTGATCAGAAAAGTACTGCCAGCCACCAGCTAGGAATTCTTTGCCTTTTCAGTGGTTTTATACGCTTACATTAGGGGGTTTATATCAAAGCATTTACATGTCAGGTTAGATGACGATAGAGGCTGATGTTTGCTTCCTGCTCCCTGTTTTCCAGCAGGAGTGGATCTGCTTCCAAGCTCGTCTACAGCCAGTGAGCATCAGCCTCCCAAACAGAAGGTGAGCATGTGTGGACAGAGTATATAAATACAGGTGGTAAATGACATACT